CAGAGATCGACAAACGCACAGACCGCCATAGCGCTAACCGAGAGCGTGGCCAGAGCGCAAGATCTTTACTGAAGCTGTGCCCTAAGCTGCTTCAATCACGAAATTTGCTGACGACACGGTAGAGGGTTGCATTGAAGCTACAGATCAAGACACCACACGTTTTCGATGGGAGAAGAAACACTGGTACACTCACCACAATACCCTGACTTGGGTGAGTACTTCGGGTCTGAGGCAGCCGTTATTGATGGAACTGCATCGAACATCTGATCGGACACTGTTGGTAAATCCTTGCCTCACGAACACTCACTATCTTTGATTGAACTCTTTGCGACCTTCCTGATGTGTTGGCGATGTTGACATGACTCTTCAGCCAACCGCGTAAGCTCGTCTATTGAAGCAGGCATAAAGAGCAAGAAAAGGCCGAGATGGTCTTCTTCGTCGCCGCGAAGCCACCAGATTGCCTCACCCGAAACGAAGAATTGGAGTTCCAACGGTCACAAGAGATGTGTATTCGTATGGGTTGCTTACGGTGGAAGCCGAACTTCCTCGTCAAGTGATGTATCCTGCTGTACTATCCTCGCTATGCTCTGTTAGACTGTCACTGTCCCCACTGCCTATCACTTTCTCAGGCCAGCACCCAGCACCAGACTACGGAGTATATGATTGAGCATACAATGTTGATCTGAAGTATCAACCCAAGAAAGAATCGTGCCTGTTTCTTTTGCTCCCGTCCCTTACCACAATAGTCGAATGTCTCGCGTCACATCGGACCGAGCTTGACTGCTGGATGATATCGAACGTCTGTATGCTTAGATGATCACATCTCACAAGCGATACTCGCATTCGTCAGATGCTCGTCTCGAGTTTCGATGGACATAGAGTGCACGTAGTGCTAGCGTGATAGGAATAGCAAACGCGATGACAACCATCAGGGTAATTTTGGCTGGAAGATATCCTGGAGCATCGTCCTTTTGGTATGTTTGGGGACCGATGATATTTGCAACGCCGAACGCAGCAGAAATCACAGCACTTGCAGTCACTTTCTGCGTGTGGCCGTTGTAATTAGCGCCAACCCAATCATATATGATAGCCAACGGAGCCACAATCTATTTTCAGTCAGTCTTCACTCACCACATTTCCATCAATAGCTGCAGACTCACAAAGTTGACCAAATAGATACCAGCGAGAGACCCAGCTGGACGACCGATGCCCTCAAAAGAAAGCAGAGCACCACCAATCAGAGCAGGTATCAAGAGACCTACGATGGACAGCCACCTGGGTGCCTGCTTCACAATTGCC